TTTAATGATACATTAAACCCTAGTAAAAACTACTAACCAAAACTAAAAATGCGATACTTTACACTATTTCTCTTACCTTAGAAATGGTTCTCATTTTTCTTTAAGAACACCAAAAGTACTAGAGTTAAAATGTGATCAAATTGTTCTCTCATTCTCGGCTATATTTCTTTCCAACATCATTTATTGAAATCTTTCAAGACCAAACTGAGTGGTCATAAAATTTGTGCTTGAATTTGTATATCTACTCAAGATTTATTCTTATCCAAATCTTGTTATTGAGAGCATTGCTTGTGAATGTGAAAATAAAGTCTAAAACATTTGGGATTATGTCTAAACCGTAGAGTAAGTTTTAGATTAAAATATTGAAAGGTTTATAATCTTGATCATGTGAAAAAAATCCTAACTGTAAGAGTTGTGCTTAAGCTTGTGAAACGAGATTACTATTTTAGAAAGTTATGGCACTAAAAAATTCATATATATATATATATATAATTTTTTTTCACTTGTAAATTTTGTTATAAAAAATATAGACCATGTAATCTTTTTAAAATAAATGTCTAAAAGGATTAAAGCATTCATATGTTATAATATAGTTATCAACTTCAATTTTTTTTTTTTTGTCAAAAATAGAAATTTTATTAAATTAAAATTAAAAAAGTCGTTTACATCTATATCGGAAATCAACCAAAAAAGAAAAAATTCTTTGTATAGAGGATGAAACGAGCTTATAAACCAATATAAAAAAACACCCAAAACATACTATGAAAATTAAAAATCTAAATCTAGTTCTAAAAATTAAAAAAAAAAAAAACTACTCTGCAAGTAGACGGACATCTAGCATACTTTTTACTAGTAATCTACTAGCATCTATACTACTTTGATCTTCCATTTGATACTCTCATTTTTAGTTAAACAAAAAATTTGAATACCGATTTATTAGTAGTCTATGCAAAAATTCTACCGTAACCAAAAACCCATAAAAAAGTGGAAAAACATAAAAAACAAAAAACAAAATAACAACAACCTTTAACTCGAAACATACTAGAAAAATTGAACAAACACCAAATAAAAATACATTAAAAATGAATTATAATGAAGTTTTAACTTTTTAATATCTAATTTTTAATACAAAAAAGAATAATAACCGAAGAGGAGTGATAGTTAAAGAAGAATGATGATAAAATAATGATAATGATAATTTTTTTTATCACCACCGTCAATGATGGTGGTGGTAATATAATAAAAATGATAATGATGGTTGACAAGGAGTGACGATAGAATAATAATGATGATGATGATGTTTTTTTTAATTTTTTTATCGCCACCACCAATGATAGTAGTGGTGGTGGTGATGATAAAAGTTATTGATACATAAGAAATAAAAACAATATATTATTATTTTAAAAAATTTATTTTTATTTCTTATTTTTATTCTAACATTTTACATAAAAATGAAATTATGTTTAATCTTTATTTCTATTTTTACTCTTTATTCTCATTTTTATTTTATGTCTTTTAACCAAACAGTTACAAAATAATAATAAAATTTTTATTTCTATTTTAACTACTCTATTTCTAATAAACAACGAACAGCTAATAGAAATATGTTTAAATTTAAAAGGTGTTTGATAAAATTAAAAATTAAGTGCTGAATAAATCTAGATTATTCCCGATGAGAATCAATAGTAACAAATCTATATTCTTCTCTGTGGGAATCAACAGTTGTCAGCGCGCCTTAAAAATTATTTTCTTCCTCAATCCGCAAATCAAGCCTCGAAATGTTTCCCATTTTCAGTTTGACAGGATATGATAACTAATTAATATTTACGGAATTACAATTATACCCTCAAATTAATGTTTGGCGGTCCGTTCCTATTTTGCTCTTTTCAACCCGCCACGTAATTTCCTTTTACTGCCAATTTCATTAATATTACTTATCTTCACCATCCTTTTTAATGAACAATCTTGCCCATCCAATTAACAACAATCACTTCAGAAATTTACATCTTTTAACACATACCAAAAGAAGAACAAAAAGACATTTAACCCCCAACCAAGTCAAAAGTTAAAAATTTACCACTATGGAAATTAAAGAATTTATTTGATGTATCAATTAATACGGTTAAAGTTAAAATCCTACAGATGCAAAGCAACAAAAGAGATAGGCACAATTTCCACAGATTGAAGTTTAGATCATCAGCGGATGCACTAAATAAGCGTGTAAAAAAAAAAAAAAAAGGTTGGGTTGGTACAGTTAGTCAATGAAAACCTATAAAATAGGTGTGGACAAAGTAAATACTTATCACTGTCAGTCAATGGTGGGATAGGTATTTTACATCTAGAGTTCAATGTGGGTCCCGCAGAGGAGCACCATTGCCGTTGAGTTTAGATGTCCTGTCCGAAGAAGAAGAAAAAGGAAAGAAGAAGCCCTGCTCCTTTCCTTTATTAAAAATAGAAACATCATCGATCGATCATTTATCACTCCAAAAAAAATAAAAAAAATTGTCTTAGAAGAAGAAGAAAATGGAGACACAGCAGTCATGGAGAGTGCGGCTGTCCTTCAAGAACGCAACAATAGTAATGACGGTGTTGAATATAATCACAGCCCTTGTCTTGCTTCAGGGCTTTCTCTCTTCTCCCTCTACCCGCAACGACAAACTCACACCTAACCACTTCAACTCAGGCATGCTGCTCTCTCTCTCTCTCGAAAATTGAAGATACTGTTACAATAATATATTGAATGAATATTTGGGGGTATTTATGCTTCTCGTGCTCAAATTATAATTGTTTTGTCAAGTTTTGGTTCATTTAAATAATGGGTATATGTTTGACCTGAATAGAAAGTTATTAGTCGAAATAAACAGAATCGTTTAGTTGCGTTTCCTTTCTGTGATTATATGTTTCATTTTAAATGATGAATTCAGCAACCCAATTTTGTCAAGGTTTGGTTTTTGGGTTTTGAATGTGGAACTTGGTGGATTTTTTGTGGCTGTACTAAGAACAATTGTTTAGAGGTTTTGGTTGAATTACAGATGAAAAAAAAATGTTGGCTCTTTTGGTACTATTCTGTATGACAAATGTTGGCTCTTGGATGTTATGATCAAGGACTTTTCAATTGAATGGGAAATCCTTCCAAGTAAAGGGGTGTATTCTCCCCTTTTGTTTCACTGCAACAGTACTCAGATGTTTATGACAATTTGTTATAAAATAGTGTTTAGATCTTTCCATGAATTTTCTGTTTTCCAAGGCTCTGTTATAATATCTCAATTTACATTTTGCAATTGAAGCTTTATATCTTTTGACGTTCAATTCAACTGAGACTTCAGACTAGCATTTCAGTCCTGTGCATATATATGAGTCATACCTGATGGTTTTGCCAGAACCGGTCTGTTCCTGTAAGAACCTTTGATATGATGAAGTTCGGATGTTGGGTGAATCCTTCCCATTTAAATACACCCTTAGGTTCCAACACTTTTCAAAAGTGTGCGCCCTAGTAGGAATAGGATTTATTGCCTTGAGTTATTTTGCTTCCCTTTTTTTGATAGATCCTTTTTAGCTCAATCTGTCTAAGAATATTATCGTAAAAGACAATTTTTAGAATTTTCATTAGATAAAGGGGTGTTATACGTAGTTCAATACTCATTTTAGTAGAGAATTGACCCTTGGGATGTTTTCTAATTTTTAGAATCTGTATTGGATAAAAGAGTGTAACATTCAGTTCATTGCTCATTTTAGTTGAATGTTGACCCTCATAATGTTTTCTAAGTGGATTATTAGGTAATAATAGTATATTGATCAATCAGACTGTATTATGGCTTCTTGTTGTATCTAATTGGATTTACTTTGGTTGATGGTCTATGTCTCTTGGTTGTCAACTTTTCACAATTCTGAGGGGGGAAAGTATGATAACGAACGCTTCCAACTTTTTTGCAGAGTTACACAGACTATTATTATCTGAAATTTCCCCATTTTTCACCTCTCAAGTACTGCTTATGCTTCATATTTCTTTGGAGAACTGACCCTCGGGATGCTCCGTAACACACTTCTTGGGAAACTTTATTGTTTATATGTAAAGAAAAATAAAAATAAGAAGTACATCAGTAGAAAACTACACCATGGTCACTCTATTCCGTGATGCTATGTGACTGTTACGGCTAGTTTGAACTCAAGACGAACACTGCATATAGTTTCCTAGGCAAGTAGAATATTTTACACCAATGGGACATGAGTATAGGAAAAGTTGAAGCTGACTTTAGGTTGCACCTCTTGAAATGAAGGTGTTGGTCTCCATCATCCAAGTCACTCTAGGTCTCTTTTACATTTCTTTTTCCTCTTTTTATCTTGAAGGATGATAACCTTTGTATCTCAACAATTTGTTTTTGAAACTTAGAAGTTTTCCTTCCTACAACACACTCAAGAGATTTGAATGTTTCCAATATTTTTACCATTATATCCTATTTCTGTATTGCCTGTTACCTGGAACTAGTCAACAAATATTCTTTTAATAATAATACCTATATCGTTGGCCTTTTCTTATAATGAAATAATGGTACATATGCAGAATGTTTCAGAAAATCATGATTGCTCCACTTAAGAATGTAAAATTAACCTAAATTTTTCATACTATCGTTCTTGCCTTCTTCTAGTTCTTACTTATGAATCTAAAGTTAATATTTTCCTTTACAGTAATTTTTTTTTCCTTTCTGGTCCGAGAATTATGTAAAGTACTTTGAAAATAACTAGAGTCTGTATCGAAATTTAAACAAGATTATGGCAGCATGCTTTCAACATTTTTTCATTGTATGATGTTGTTTTAAGGTTGAAACAAACCCTTCAGTGCTTTTTTGGTGAATGTCAATGCTTTGCTATATTTAAGGCATTCAATTGGCACTAAATTATGTCTACTTAGCTTGAAGATGTACTAGTTTCAAGTCACAGTTCTTGAACATGTATAAAAGCATTTGGTATTAAGCTTGATGTCAGTATTGTCAAGGCCATGCATGACTCTTAAAGGTTGCCATTTTCTGAATGAGACACCTTTTGAGCTTGATGGTGGTATTTCTTGATTGCCACTGAGTTCTATTTATTTATTTTCAGTGTTTCTACATCATTTCAGGAGCAATGGAAACTCTAATTACTGTGTTCTAATGTTTAACAATTCAAAATGCAGTTAAGCTCAGATACATCAAGGAGTCGGAAGAGATGCGCCTTGCCATGCAACCTTGGAAGCTTATAAAGAGAGTATGGTTTTGACTTTAAATCTTAACATGCTTCTTATATGTTTGATTAAACTTCCACAGAACCATGTGAAAAACTTTTTGGAAATGAAGCTTTGCCTGTGCTTTTGTTTTCTTTCTTCCTTTCGTGCTATTAGATTATGCATCTGAAATTTTGCATGCATTTTTTTCCCCATCAAGATTGTCTCTCTCTCTCTCTCTCTCTCTCTCTCTCTCTTACAAGGTACCATGTATCAAACAAGTTTGAGGAGGGAAAATCGTGCGAACTCATGGATTGAAATAAGTTCTTTATAGAAGTTGGTATCTTTTTGTGTTTGCAGGTGAAGGAAATTGAGCAAGAAGCTTATGCAGAACCTGAAACTGTCCAACCTAAAGACATCAAGCAGACTGCTGCTGTTGATCTTTCTAAAAGGTTGCAGGATTTCCGTTCGCTTAATGATGCTTCCGGTTTGAAAGGTACTTGCTTCCTTTATTTTCTATTTTTTAGCTGTGTGTTTTGTGCAGCTGTTTTTAATAGTCCATGCAAAAGCTTTATATCTGTGAGATGGTAATGGTTAGCATACTGCACCAAATTAACAATTAATTTCCTAGCAAAAAAATAGCTACTCTCGCAGCATCATTGGTTATAGTGTTAAATACCTTAATATTGCCTCTCTCTGAACTTATTCAGATAAAATGATGATTAGCTGCTTTCTGTAATTTTAGGTCGAAGACACTATTGATGTCTCTGGTTTTGTAACTTTTATGGCTATCGATAATTAATATATTGGTCTTATATTCTTAAGGTGCATATTGCTGGCTATATTATCATGGTGATCCTACTAACATGTTAAATATTAACTCAGCTTTAGAGGAATGGCGTAAACGGAAGATGGAACGAGCCAGACAACGAGCTTTGGAGAAAAATGGAACTGGGACCTCTCAAGCTTGATGCCCTTCAAGGAATGGGTGTTTAAGGGGGTTTGTGAAGTTAAGCATCAACTATACTACTTTTTTTTTTTTTTTTACTCACACACTCAAGGCTCCTAGCATAGGTCTGTTAGGATTTGAACTCATGATCTCTTGTTGCAAGAGACCACTATCACTGAGCTACAAGCTCTTTGGTTCAATTATACTACTATGAACTCACCTCAAAATTGCATACTTGTACATGTAGAAAACTGAATGTTAAGCGAATCTTGCGAACGTTTGTTATGTCAAAGTTAGTTGCTTCACCCATGGTAACAGTTGCCTACTGGCAGCATTGTTGTAGTGATGGGGATACCAAGTGGCAAGAGCCGAAGATCATCAAATTCTTCAAAAAGATGTAACCTGTCCAAAGAACAACTGAAAACTGGAGGCAGTTAATAATAGGATTAGTGGAATTTCTAAAATTTTCTCATTAACATACTTAATAGTGTCTTTGTGTGTGTCTGCTAGATGGGTGTCAGCTTTCTAATTTACCTAATAACAAATGTTGTGACGTTGTGCGAGGTCATTCCGGATGCTAAATAGTTTCAACGGACCTTTCAGTTGAAAATGAAAAATTTTGCATGTGTACCAAGTCAACTCTTCATGTACTAGACACCTCATTATGGGGAAGGGCAAAGTTGTAACGTCGACAGGGAGAGGAAAATGTTGAACGAGACATGGAGAAATGTACACCAAGGCACCAATTCTATAGCGTCAACGGACTGCCAAATTGGATTTATTTCTCCTAACCCGAACTATTCTAGCAAATACACCAACATCTACATGTTTTCCTATTCACTTCCATCCAATTTTGAAAACGATGTAAAACTCAAGAACACGGAGATTCACCTCAAAGGCTGTTAGCATTGTGGTGCTAGTTGTAACAGTGCTTGAACCCCGGTTTCTGGAGTTTGGAACCACAACGGCAAACACGTTAATTGGGAAGCATTGGAACATTTAGTTTCACTCAAGACACTGGTCATATTGACATCATAGCGACAGATGCCCTCTTGCGAGTTGAGGCTATTCCCAGGCCCGCGTGAAAGTTAAGTTGGAATACCATCTGCACCTCGACGAAAAATACCTGACTGGATTTGGTATTAAGATTCCTCACGTCACTCCCGACAAGAAATTTGGAAAGTGAATGAAACTTCTACCTGGGATAGCTTTTTAAGATGTATGTCCTCCAGGGAGTAACGGACACTGAATGGTTACTCTTCCAAGACAACTCTGGCGCAAGAAACATACACCTAGGCACAAGAAACATGTCTTTCAACATTCAAAGCTCGACAGATATCCACATGTAAACCTACTCATGCTGCTGTTCCAGAGCGATTTACCCCAGAACAACACCATACTCTTGACCTGAGGGGAGGAGTCGTGCATCTGCAGAATGCCAATAAAGCACACGACATGAAGAAATATCTAGGGTTTAGCCACCAATCATCACTTAAATTTAACTCCTACTTTCACTAAGAATCAGAGGCATTGAGAATAAAATGATTGATTATCATTGATGCACTGAGATTTTCTATACAAGCTTATACAATTAGAACTTTGTATATACAAGCTACAGAAAGTTCATTCAGTCAGGCATACAAGTAACAAGCTTACAAACCTCCTATCCGACTTGCCTCAAGGAATTAGTGTACCAGACTAATTCCCAACTACAACGTCAAAATGCCAGAAACAGCAGCATCCACATAATGGCTGAGAAAATTCAGATCCAGCATTTTGTTTCACCTTTTTAACCACCTTCGAAACCAGAAGTATGAAATCAAGGGGGAAACAGAAACGGCCGTGTCAATGCGCATGATTGGTGAATGTTGTAATCCAGTACTCTGTAACATCAACTCTCAAGGTAAAAAAACAACGACCTGAAAATTGAAGACCTTGGTCAAACCGTAGGGGATCCATTTTCCAACTCCCACCTGCAGAGAAGGTGATGAACATGAGAACATACATTTCTTTTTCCATGCTACATATCAGTGCAAAAAAAAAAAAAAAAAAAAGGAAGCTGCAAAAGAATTATATTATATTGCACAGAGTTGGGGTACTATAAGAATTAATACTCACATTTCTGAGCATGCTATACAATTATGTTTGCATGAACATGACATCACAGCTATAATATTTACCAAGTCAAGTCACATATAACCTCAGAACCAAACCATTTTGAGCCTACAGGACATCCCATGGTCGAAATCCCAGATTACCTTAGTATTTTAATAAGGTTAGATATTTGCCCCCAAAAGGAAAAATAAAAAAAAACAAACGAACCATTATCAGACTAGTCAAGCACTAACAACTTAATGTTGGAAATGGAAAGTACAGAAAAAACTGAATTCCTAAAAAAAAAAAAAATCGTCATAAATCAACAATTCCTCCCCCCACCTCCCCATCAAAGCCAATAAATGCAAAGACTAAACATCGGTTGCTCATCATTTTGAGTTGACTAGATGGTTTCTCCATCACAAATTATTAGACACGCATGCTTACAATTGCAAAAACTCATTGTTGATTTAAGCAGGTTAGCCAACCAGAATTTATACTGCTCCTATGAACACTCATAAAAGTTCAAATATTGCTGCACTTACATGAAATATGACTTAAGATTGCCAATCCACCTTTCTCCAATTTCTAATGGAAACTTTCTAGACAAAAATAATATTAAATTTAAGATTTCTGGAGAAATATTCAACATGCCTTCAAGAGATGGACTCCCACACCTACAACAACCCCCCCAACAGCCCCCCCCCCCCCCCCCCCCCCCCAACACCCACACACACACACACACACACACACAAAAATCATGCATAAAGGTTTATAGAAATCACTGTTTAACAAATTCCCCAAACCAAAAAATGCAATAGCTCCCGCCATCGTTCACCAGCTTATTAAGAGATTATATATGGAACACAAGGAGTAAACACCAATAAATGTATGACATGACCAATGCGTTGATGGAAGTCGGGAAAAATTAGTAGTAAAGTGAAGCACTTATCCATTATCAGGAAAATTTAGATTACTAATACATCACACTAATTAGTTTTGTTAATTCTTAATAACATTTTTATATACAAAACAATCACTAATGACCTAAAATGGCACTATCACATGAAACCTAATTCCTTGTATAGTTTGGTGTTCATTAGATGGAGTTAAGCACAAAATTTCTTCCACAAGATTTCATTTTGAGCCTTACAACAATTTAGTTGGAAGTTTATTGCCTCTCTTGCTTTAGATGCATAACTGTATGGTTATCCTATTTAATTTATCTTTTCAAAATTTTCTTTTCAGTGTTTGCCAAACATTTTTCTTCTTTTCACAGTATTTATTTGTGATTTTGCACAGTGATGGGTACAAACTATTTTAAGAGTAGAATCTTTATGCTGTATAGGGACAACTGAAAAGACAGGCAAAAAAGGAAGTTTAGAAACCCTATTAGGTCTTAATAAGAAATTGAGGTAATGGTCTCATAAAGATTTAACATAAATACTAAATCCTACACTGCAGCAATAAGTACCATATGCTAATAAATCTATTATCAGGGACAATACAGAAAGTCAAAAAAAGAAATGAGCCCCAAGACATAAGTGGATGTCCAAACATTAATGGATTGCAAGAAGAGATGCTTAAAAGGAAAAAGGGATGTCCTAAAAAATGATAAAGATTTAGAAAAACTGAATGATATCTTATAGTTAATTTAGAAAAGGCTACGAACATTCAATTTTCTTTATTTACACAGCTCTCCAAGGCTCCAACTTTTCATTGACAGCAATCAAGTGCTTCCACTCCAATTTTGACCAATCATTATCAGTCCTAAAAATGGCACATTCCCATGTGTAGCCATGAGTACATTTGCGATCATAAGGTTTTATTTAACAATCAACCCTGTCATAAAATCAAGAAAGCATGTTGACAAGATGACTCAGAGGAAGTATCATCATACTTGCATGTAACTGAGATTCTTCTTATTGAGTGAACTTCCAGCCCAACCATTATCTAAAATCTCAATTGCGAGTAGGGGATTAGCATCTAGCAGCAGAGCAGAGTTACAAATTAAAAAAGGCATCAATGTTTTATTGATAATATCTATATTAAAAGAAAACAGATTAACAGCAAGCAGAGAAACAATATCAAAAAGAAAAGGAGGGTTAACAACAAGTCTTAAAAACAACTGAGAAACATGGGGCAAATCAAAACCAAACTATTAAGATGGATGACAAAAGGATCATGCATAATCTTCTAAGTAGCATGACACTGTTGACTTGGTTCTAATGGACATGCATGAAAGTGCACAGGGAACATGAACTCTAAAACTAAGAAACCCAATTGGCAAAATTGGAATTCAGAGACCATGCAGCAGACTACTCCAAACATAGAAAATGTAGTATGTAGGGCCAAAAGAAACAAGGTGAAGACATCCTAAGACGAACATAGAAAAAGGTTTACACTTATGATAGGAAAGTCAGTGTTATGATTCATCGCAATAATAAGATACTAATATAATCACTGCAAACACAAATTAATAAATAAAAGAGAGGAAACAATAGAAAAAAATTTGACATGTTCTCTAACTGCAACAACCAGACATAAAATACACAACAAAAGCCAGTAAAAACATAGCCTGGTAAGGCAAGGAATAACTACACACGATAACTTGTTTGAATCAGGGGGAAAAAAAAACACTAACCCAACAGCTGACAAAGTTTCTACTGCAAACTACCAGAAATACAAAGAAACATGATGTTATAACAATGCATAAACAACATAAGATGCACTAATATGTTTCCAGGCAAGATATAGAGCTGCAAACAGCAGATAGTTAAGTTTACCTTAGCTCATCAAGTCCCAAAACACAGTGCCATACCACACAAAAAAGTTGCACATCCTCTTTAAGCTTAATCAGTTAGTTGCAGATAGCAAGCTTCCCCGTCCAGTCATCAGCCACCCCATAATCAAGGCTTAACTCCCTCAAAGGCGGGATATTCTCCATTGCAAAAAGCATGATGTGAGGGAACATCAAATTATTGTGATCGTACAACACAAACTGCACCAGCACGTTTGGGGTTGAACTATGGCTCATATAACATGCAACATTCCTCATTTTTGACACATCCATTGCAAAATCCAACGGTGGAATCTCAGGATATGATGGACGGATGTAATTTTGATAGATCTGAGATAAATCCCCCCATTCAGCCCATCTAGCAGAAAACCTATTTGGATAAACCAAACCACTACCATTCATAGTGAAAATCTGGGATTGCTCTCTAGTTAGGACAACCCCTGCATACTCACATATAAAAGCACCAGCATGGATCACATCCAATGACCTAACTCCCCAGCCTGTTTCCCTTGACCTAAACACTTCCAATCTATTTTTCAATCCCCTTTGCGTTACCCTATTCCGACAGGTTGGCGGACACCTACAAGAAACCCCGCATTCAAATACCACCGGCTTCCCCCTCAACAGAAACCCATTCTCATCATACGCAAACTCACCTCCATTCTTCATTGCACAAAAACAACCATCACTGCATCCCGAAACACAATCACATCCAGTTCCATTACTTCCATTAGTAAACAAAAAGACTGGAAAAACAGTACGTTCAAGATATTGATAACACAAAGGATCATGATCATTGTCAATATCATTAAACAAAAAAACTGGCATATTCTCCTTCTTATTCGAAATATCAAGACTCAAATATCCTCTAGGCCTCACACTCAATGGCTTAGTCCTCAAACTCTCAGCAAACTTCAAGATCGAACTACCCATTTCTGGTTGGCCATCTATCCTCTGTAGCCTATACTTATAAACACCAAACCCTGATTTCCCAACATCAAACCAGCAATCAAGAATCCTATACAACCCATCATATACATAAACCTTACTACTAACACTACCTTCATGTTTAATCCCTCTAATCACTCTTACCTCAATCCCATAATGCATACTCCTCTCCATGGCCAAATTCCCTCCTTCCAGCTTTTGGTGCTCGCATTGCCTGTTCAACTTGTCCTGCCCGCCATGTCCGGTGTAAATAATTACATCTCCAGCATCCTCATCGTCCTCATAACCACCAGAAACGATAATGCTAGTAGCAATAGGCTCCCTATTCGAACTCTGGCTCGCTGGAAGATAATCAATTCCAGCCTGAGCTTGTCCGTGCAATCCCATGACACACAGTTCCATTCTAAAAAAGAAAACATCTCCAATTTGAACACCAGGAATGGACCCCACAATCCGCTTATCCCGGTTAAGCCACAGCCCACAATCCCTCATTGCAGAGGCAGCACGGAGATCTCCACGTGCACGGCGGCCTAGGCGTTCTCCCCGTCGCTTCTCCTCCTCCAAGACAGATAAGATTCGAAGGGAGTCGTAGATCATTCGTGTCCGGCGGACCAAGTCACGAAAATACCTCTGGTCCTCTATTCCGAGGTCCGTGACACGCACGAGCTCCGAAGACCGCTGCGGATACTTCGGACGCCGCGAAACCACTACGGTGGAGAGAGCATTATTATTGTCACCTTCATTAACAGGGACGATAGCGCGGGAATCGGGGTCCGAAACGATGGAAACGTCGCCGTATTGATCTTGCAAGCTTTTAGCAAAAGCTGTGCGAAAGAGCTCGGAGATTCTGTTGTATTCGGAGTAGAGATTATTGGCATTGTCGTCGTCGGTCGATTGGGAGAGAGGAGGAGTTAATTGGGAATTAGAGAAATAATTAGGGGTAGAACTGGTAAAGAAAAGATCCTGGGTGCTGCTGGTGGGGTATTGCGGTTGTTGCTGGTGGAAAGGGGTTTCAACATCAAATGGTTCAAGCTTAGGTTCGATTTTTGGCACTAGCAAAGCTGCGGCTGCCTCCGTCATGGACTGAGTGGTGGCTATGGTGTTGGAGCTGGTGGATGCGGCGGCGGGGGCGGTGGTGGTGGTTAAGGATGAGGATGGAGATGGGGCAAGATTAAGGTCTGGAAATTGGAGCAGAGAACCCATGTTTTGAGAGAAAGTGGGGTCTTAAAATCGAAGCATGAAAGTGGGGTTTTGTTAGGGTTTTTTCATAGATTAAGGGTGGGCGTGAAGAGCGTCTCAAGTTTCAAGTTGAAGAAGCTGCCATGCCAAGGAAATGGTGGAAGTAAAGAAAAGTTCAGATAGTTAAGACAATAGTTGTTTTTGATGCTACCTTCACTTGGATTACAGCACAACGTTTTGCCACGTGTACGTTCTCTCTTTTTGTCCTTTTCCTTTTCTTTGTTTTTTGCACACGTGTATGGAGAAGATCTGATTTTAAGACAACTACGGTGACTAACTTGTCATTATAAAAGGCCACACATCAACTATCAGACGTCCCTTAAACTGACGAGAGTCACCTTATATACTTGGAAAGCTGAAAAAATTAAAAAAAAAATCTTAAGTTGCTGCTAGATTACTATAAATGAAATATCCCAAATAAAAAAATAAATTAATTAATTAAAATAATTTTTTAAAATAATATATCACTATTTTAAAAAGAAAAAAATACATTTACATTCTTTATTTTATTCACATATCCTTTTATGAAAATAAAATTATGTTTAATTTCCCTCTTCAAGTTTTTTACTAAATTTTTTTCCAATCAAACATTTTTAGAGTAAGAATAAATCTTTTATTTTTGTTTTCACTGATTTATTCTTTGTTATCAAATAATATCTGAAATTAATAGATTTTTTTAATAAACTTTGGAATGCTTAATCTGGATTAAAATATAAATTGTTCTAAATATATATTTTATCGTTTAATAAAAAAACATAAAGATATTTTTTTTAATATCTAAATATATTTTAAGGTAAATTTTTGCATACTACTCCTTTGAAATACTAAACACATGAACCTATTTGGTATATATGCAGAACAAGATAAAAAAACGACTTTTTAATATTATTATTTTTTAAATTTTATTATTCCATTTCAAAGTTTCTCCTCACCCTCAGACATGCTTTTGTTTTCCCGCGATATAAAATTTATCTAAGAATTTTTTTTCCAAAATATCCATACTCATTTTTCTTAGATTCAAAATATTCTTCACTCTTTTAGATTTTTTTTTCAAAATATTTATTTATGAAAATTTATAATTAATAATTTTAAAAATAAATGCAAAATACAAATATTTATATTTAAAAATAAAAGTAATCAACTATTTTTATATTTTATATCAATTATTTTAGAAAATAAAAATAATTATTTAAATATTTAAATTTATTACTTCAAGATAGATAAAAAGTAACAATTTTATTTGTGAAAGTGATAAAATAATTATTTAAAAAATAAATCAGTCATTAAATATATGAAAAACTAAAAGAATTATTTAAATAAATAAACTAGTATGACTTTTAAATAATAGGTTGATCCTATTTGTAAAACTTACAAGATAAAATAAAACAAATATCTCAATAAAATATAGAAACTTAGTCATGTATTATGCTATATTATATTATTTTTATTTATTACTTCACATTGCAATAATAAATTGCTTATTCCTTACAGGAACAACATTTACAAAGAATCATATCCTTGTGTTTTATATTTATATACACGAGACAATATAAGTATATTATTATTCTTATGTCATGTTGTTCTGTCGTATTTTATACTTACCAAGCATAAATTAAAATAATTGAGCAGTCCAGTGTAGTCTTTATGTATTTGGTCTATTTATGTTTTTATCTAATCCAGTTCTGTCCGATCTGGTACCTTTAAATTTATCTAAGTATGCACCCTATGAATAAATCTACTAACTTTAATTATGCTAAAAACAGGTTATTCATACTGGCATAGGAGGACGTAAGGGTGTGCAGATGGAGCCTTGGCTACTACAAACGTAGTAGTAAAAAATTTTAAGGGTATACGAGTGTCTGTTAGAGTTATGGCCCTGGAAATGGGTAATCTTATACTCTTACGAAAATTCCTTTTAATCCCATCAAGTTGCAACTTTGCAAGCTACTTTATGGCCCAAAAAAAAAAAAAAAGAAGGAAGATTTTATTCACTAGGAGGCGGTTTAAAGAAACCTTGGTTTGATGGCTCCACCCGCTGCGGTCCCATTAAAAGAACTATTTATTTTTTAGATAAATGTATTAAATTATTTTTTTATAATATTTAAAATCTCTTATTTATTTTTAGATTTTTAATTGTATCTCATATGTTTTTAAAAAAATTTAAAAAATTTCATCTATTATTTGGATCAAATTTTTCAATCATTTAAAATATTTTTAACTCGAAACATCCTTTATTAAAATGTGAAAAAAAAAACTTAAAGTCACATGATTTATATATTTTATTTTTAAATAATTTTTTTTTTTTACATATCAATCAGAAGCATTTAGATTAAAAAAATTATCCCATTAGAAAAATTGATCGGAAAGACAAATTAAGCATTTCAAACACTTTTAGAACAAATGAGATGCTATTAAAAATTTAAAAATATATTAAAGACTTTGAGTATTATATAATGTCAGATGTGTATATTTACTCTCTCTTTTTTAATAAAATAAGGTTAGAATTCAAATAAATTGAAATTAAGGTCAGCAAATAATATTAATATGTGAAGATAAAGTAAATGAGGTTTTTTTTTAGTCTATCGAAATGTATTCTAGGAGAACTGAAAAATTAGCAAAAACTTTTTCTTAACTCATAATATGTTTTCTAAAACTGCTTATGTAATTTTTTTTTGTTTTAAAAAATTATTGTAAAATACTTATTATTATTGATAACTATTTTTTCCCTTGTTTAATAACATATTTATGTGAGCTTTTAACGTTCTATTTTTATTAAATAAAAAATAAAAAACAAATAATAATATCTAATACGTTTTTTTTATTATCATTTGGGTTTGGATTTTCTCGTGTTCCTTTATTGACATGATCTGTCTTATTTCAAATCTCACAATTAATTTTGCATTCAAAATTTTGAATTAGGTGAGAGAAATAAAATAATAATAAGTTCAGTTGTTATTTTTATCATGGACTAAATCACATCCCTTCAATTTAAATTTAATAAATTAGATTTAAAGTTTAGGAGCTTGCTATTTTTTTTACTTCCATCTCACTTTTCCGTTTAACCAAACAAGGAAAGTTAGATTAGCCTTCGCTTTCTTACTTGTTAGCCAAACAACTAATTAAATAAATAATTTGATATTTATTCTTCTACTGTATATATTATATTCATCCTTTATTTATCCATCACGTAGATAACGTAACGATAGAGATGGAATAAGAAAATATTTAAAATACTCAATAGTAACAATCAATATAAGACAAAAGAAAAAAAATCATATTCGAATTTACCAAAATTTATAATAATGTTTTCATCTAAATTTATATGAATATTTTCTGATTAAATACACTTTCTGCCTCTATATTATATCAAAAATATCGTTGCAACCTTTCTACATAAATATAATTTATAACAAATCTTATATTATTGGAGGTTGGTGCAAAACAATCTATTGTTACCTTTTTAATCAAATTGACTAACTTTAATTAGTTGACTAACATTTGGCCACTCAAGTGGTTACACATGTCAATTACAGGTAAAAATGTAATGTTCTTAAAAAATTATTTTTTATTTGTTTAAAGTTAAAATAATTAATAATTATTACAAAATTATAAAAATTGAAAAAAAAATCTAAACAAAAATTTTAAAATAATAAAATTTTTCATTTTTAATGATTTTACAATTATTATTAAATCAATTTTTTAAAAAAATATATGTAAATAATTTTATAAAATTTTAATTATTTTATAATAATTATTAATAAATAATTTTTTCAATTTTCAATATTTAAAATAATTATTAATAAATGAAATTTTAAAAAAATATATAAAGAAATTTTTAATGATTATTAATTATTTTAATAAAAAATTTTTGATTATTAATTTTTTAAAACACTTTTCTTTATATTTTTAAACTAATTTTATAATGATTATTAAGTATTTTAATAAAAGATTTTCATTATTATTTTTTTCAATTTCTTTTTTTGAAAAAAAACTTTTCTTCAGATTTTTTTTAATTTTCTTTATTAGTAATTATTATAAAATCATTAAAAAAATAGATTTTTCCAAAAAATTCTTTATATTAAATCATTATAAAATCATTAAAATTTGATAAAATAATTTTTTTTATTTTTTAAAAATATTTAATTATTATTATTATAAATTCATTACAAATTAAAAAAGAATTCAAATTATTTTTTATAAAAAAATTCTTTATATATTTTTTTATTTTATAATAATTTGTAATTATATTAACTTTAAAAATTTGAAACAAAATTGATTTTGGAAGAAAATTATATTTTTATCCTTAAATTGATACACATCGATGCTTGATTGTTCAAACATTGGTTAAGTAGTAAAAATTGGTCGATCTAATAGAAAGAGTTAACGAAATATTATTTTTACAACACCCCGACCCAGGACTTAAATAAATTAAGGATATTACTATCATGTAAGCCACAAGGCATTGCGTCCTTCCTATGGTGTGCTTAGGTATGGATTATGCTACGGAAGCCTATTAAATAACTAATAGGTCCAACTTTCCTTACAAATTTCAGCCTAAAATACATTAGTAAATTTTTCTATTTTAACATTTTATTTTAATAGTTTAGGTTGAAATAACTGATCTGTGATCTCGCTTTGTTAAATTTTGTTTTTCTATTAGCTAGAATAAATTTATCTAATTGATACCCGTTATTCGATAGTCTAACTTTTTTTTTATTAATTAACGTCTTTTATAGAATTACTTGACTATTCGTGTCATTATTATCAACTAGTAGTATGTAGGAATTAAACTAACAAAATCTACAACTACAAGTTACTATGCTATTACATATTTTAATATGTCCAAAATTTGGTTGACATACAACTTATTTAGCTTTTACTTGCGGCTAGTCTAGTACCACACTACTATAAAAGTGTTTTATTTATCTACATGTCTATTTTCTCATTTTACTAACTAACCATCA